CGTTCACGCAGGTCTACAAGCTAAAAGGTCCCTGGAGCCATAGGTTGGAAAGCATGGCCTCCCTGGGTGGATGCCCAAGGCCGACGCCTGCCTGCTTCACTAAAACTCTCTCTCTCTCTCTCTCTCTTTCTCTCTAAAGAATAGCAACAAAGCTAAAAATATACATTGGCGTGCATGCACACTAACTACACACACACACACACACACACACACACACACACAATTTGCTCACAAAGGATGCTGAACCACACCCAATGGGACCCGAGGCGAGGGCCCTGACCAAACTATTCTATTTCCCAACAGTTGGGTTTCAGTAATGGTTGTGTTTAACAACCAGCTGACAATATTCCTTAAAATGTAACAAATGGTACTCATGAGCCAGCACTAGTTGTCCCCAGCATGCTGGTGGCAGCATTAACCCTTGCAGTCAGAGTTTTACTATAAGAAATCTCTGCCAGAGTATGAGGTCGGGAGAAAGGACGCCTTAAGAAACCATTTGTCCTTGAAAGAGTTGGCTGTAAGTTGGTATTAGACCAGTAGTCAGCAGAGATCTTGGCAGGTCACGCCTTGGGGCTGCAGCCTGGCTGTCAGCAACACCTGACACACAGCCTCACCTGTAACAGACAGTGCCAGCTCACCAATGACACCGAGGTGATGAGGGGAGGCAGCCAGTACCAGCGGGAGGGGCTTCCAGAAGCCCAACCTTCAGAAATATGTCAAAGTTTTATTCTTCCAGCACAGACATCTATGGACATTTAAGTAGTTTTTTTTTTTTTTTTTTTTTTTTTTTTTTGAGTAATTGTTAAAAAGTATTTACAGAAAGGAAGTTCAGTAAAAAGTCTAGTCATCTCATGACTGGCTTCATGTCATTTCATTTGGGGCATGTCTTAGTCCATTTCTGTTACTTATAACAAAATACTTGGAACTGGATAATTTATAAAGAAAACAAAATTTATTGCTTAGTTTCAGAAGCTGAGAAGTCCAAAGTCCAGGGAAGACATCTGATGGTTGGGACAGTGACCCAGGGGTCTCACATGGCAGAAAATGGTGAAGCAAAGAGAGATGAACCTCTCACATGCTCTTCTTTTAAAACCCTTGGAACCACAACCATGACCACCATTTGCCATGGTCCTACAATTTAATCTCCTCTTCAAGGCCCCCCATTTCAATTACCGTAATAGGATTTCCCACCCTATACAGTTACAGTGGGAATTAAGCTTCTAATACATGAAATTTGGGAGACACAATTCAATCAGTCTACAGCAGGGCATTAAAAAATGATGTGACCTCCTTTTCTCAACTCCATACAGTGTTGCCAGCCAGTGTTGCCTACCCGTCTGTGGCAATAGTGCCAAATGACCAGAAGGAAAGTTTCTAATTATGTGAGCTTTGGACACCTAATACAAGCACACAAAAATATTCATTTTTGAAAATGACCACACAGAAAAGCCTCAAAAAGTTGAGTTTTTATTAATTGATATTATGGTTTATTAAGTCAATGGGTGAGTGAAGTCTTCCCTGCTGACTCAATTAAAGTGTCAGCAATGTAGATGTCTCCAAACCAACTTTAAATGTGTTGGTAAAAGAGATGTGTAAAGAATTATACATGATAAAATGAGGAATGTTTATATTTCATTCATCTTAACAGGATATAGAAAAATAACACACTTAGAGCAAGGTAAGTTGAACACTGAGGGATAACCTAAGACCAGAACCTGCTCTGCTTTCTGCAGCCCAAGCCTTCACTCAGCAAGTGGTCTTATTTTAATCCTAGGCTAAACCAGTAAAATAAAAAAGGGGTTAAAGTACAAGTCACTTGTAATTTTACAATTCTGGATTGACTCTGAAGAAGTCAACAGTACATTTTGAGATACTTTGTCAAAGGCTAATTTCTTTTGTTCTCCAAATAGCAGAGCTAAGCCACAGCTTCCATCATCCTTGAAAATATATTTGAGATCAGGCCTAAATAAATAGGCAAATTCTCTAAGTACATCTGTTTACCTGCTGGCTGGAGTGGTATATAATACAGAGAAAGTAGAATGACAAGTAACAAGTAAATATATTGAAATATAAAGGTGAAAAATATACAAGGTTCTTGTCTTGGTTAGAGGTCTTGAGTCTTGTTCTGCCAAGGGAGCATATCAATGTTGTGAGCGTTTTGATTCACTTTCTGATTAAAAGAAAAAAAAATGTTTGAGAGCCATGGTTATTATCAATTATAAAATATCATGTAATAATAATAATAATGAAAATGTAAAGAATTTAAATAATACTAACAACCCTACTGAGAGACAATATCATTTGCTGTGTTTTACAGGTGAGAAAACTAATTAGTAACTTGATTTAAAATCTCATAGGTAGTTTTTGGCAGAATTTAGACAAGAATTTGAGTTTCCTGAGTCCAAGTCCAATTTTCTTTCATGTGTCCTAAACTGCCTATCTTACACTGTAAGGGGCACACCCAGCTATGATTCCAAGGCCCTAAAGAGTTGAATGGATTTTTTTTTTTTTTTTTTAGATGTTATGCTTCTGATCTTGGAATAAATTCCAAAATTCTCTGCACAGTGGATTCACATCCTGGTTCACACAGACTCTGCTAAATGGTGTTTGGTAAATAAATGAGTGATGATCCTTATTTTTTGACGTTGTTGGTCCTTCCCCGAGGAAGTCCCAGTTGATAGTGTGTGAGTCAATTATTTTCTCTCTGCAGTTTTAATTTCAGAAAAGATTCAGGAAAGGTGGGGGGGAGAGTAAACTCCATACATAGAGTGTATCACAAGCCTTTTCCCAATTTATGATTTTTGTTGTTGTTGCCATTTTTATATTCTGAGAATATTTTTCACTGAAACAAATACCATCAAATGCCATACTCCAAGCAACTGGGTTCCCTAGCCCAACTCATGCAGAATTGTATAAGACACAAAAATAATACCTGCATGATGGCTCATTGAGACATTCTGGAAGGAGTAAAATTGCCAAGTCTTACAGCATGTCCATAAATACAATTGACTTCCTGGCTAACTTACAAATTACAACCATCAGCTCTTAACCAAGAATAAGATGTGCTCATCAATTGAGCCTTGTTTTAAAAATAAACTTTTCTTAAATTCATCATTATCTGACAATAATTTACACAATTTTTAGCACAGATTTTAGCAGTCTCTGTCTCGCAGATGTCTAAATGGCCACTTTTCTCACTAGTGTATGTCCATGCCCCATTAGTTATTTGTGTTCGTAATGGTTCTTTTGTTTCCTCTCTAAAACTGAGTGATTTTTAAAACATACAATAAATTGTGTTTTAGTGTCTTATAGAACTCATTGGTATATCTTTCTCAAATCCAAAATAAAAGTAAGAAAATATTTTGGAGCCAAGAATAAAAAAGGTCTTACATGATTTGGTTCAAAGTGTTTTCTTCGCAGTCAGGTCCAGGTTTCAGTTTACAGGTCATGGCCTCACAGCAAAGATTGGTGCATTCCTTCAAAGCAGGCACACACCGGGAAAGTGGTTTAACATTTTCTTCCGACAGACTAGGTACACAGAATTCTGGCACAATGTGGCAATGAAACTTCACTTTTTAAATTAAATTACTCTGCTGTACAAAATCCAGTGGGAATGACCAAGGAAATTTAATATCAGGAAAACATGTAATGAACAATGAAAACTACCTCTTAAAAGGCCAAATATAGACTTAGCAAAGAATTACTCAAAATAAATTTACACAATAAAATAAAGGACAAGGCAAGTTTCATTTATATTATTTTTTTATGTAAATTCTAACAGGTACCATGAGTCATGGAAAAACTATGAAAGCATAATAATTAAAAAGTATGAATAATATTTTTTTATTTGTGTGTGGTACAATTCTCTACCTGGAGAAAAACAGAGGATCATCTCTTAAAAACATTTGATGAATCACTATGATAGCTGTTTAAGATAATAAAATAGCCTCAAAAAATAGTAGTAACAGATTAGAATCTAAAATTTAAAAAAAAATCATGCTTATACACAGCAAAAAGAAAAATAGGAAAATACTTCGTAGTTTGAAAAAACTTTAAAACTATGTAATAACTACACGAAGAAACTTTTATGTAACTTTTCTGAGAAACTTTAAAGGCAACTTGTCTTATAAGACAATATTGTGGAAATAGTGGCCTTCAGAGAGAAATACAAATTTAGTGCATTTCAATCAAATGTCAACTTTATATGGGGGGGAATTTGAGTAAAACAAAATCTGAGGGTTATACAGAAGAATAAATACTGAAGAATTGTTATGCAAATTATGTAAAAACAACATAACCCTGAAGAGACTTGTCATTAAAATGCATTGTAAAGTTAAAATCATTAAAATAGCATGGTGCTTGGGAGACATATGTAGACAGAGGGAATGATTATTTAAAAAATATAAAAAAATACCTAAATGTGAACATAGGGACAATTTTCATACCTTAGGAGAACCACAGTCACAGTCTTCTCCCACTTCCCGAAGCTGGTTCCCACACACCGGTTTTGTTATTATATTTTCAGGAGTAGGTGCTCGCAGCAGGCACTTTGGTTTGTAAGATGAAAGGTATCTTTGAAAGCGTGAGCGACAGGATGTGCTGAAATCCTTTGGAAACTTTGAACTGTAACCAGAAGAAAACTCAGAACTAACATGATGTACGATGCAGTGGCTTTTGTGTGAGAAATGATCACGAGACTCTGACCTCTCTGACTGTATTACCTGGTTCAGTGGAAATTCCAAATTTAGTAACTGTTTACGACAGCATTGTGTTATCTGTGGTGGGCAGTAGAGTGTGAAAACTATGCTGATCGGGAAATTTTGACCTAGAGACCCAGCTGTAGAGCTGGAAGTGTTTAAATTCCTGTATGGATTCAGTACTGTCCTAAATGACACAGTGACGAATGTCATCATTTGTTATTATCCACTTCCTTCAGGTTGAGTGGTGAGAGATGAGAGATAATAATAATAAGCCAGTGAAGGGAATAACTGCAGACTTCTAGGCTCTATGGACATATTTCTCTTCTTACTCATGAGCACCTCAAGAACAAGATACTTTTCATTCATTTTTCTATCCCAAGTACTTGCAAATTTCTTGGCATTGACAGATAATTAATAAATATCTAGAAATGGATGGATTACTTGAAATAATATGGTCATTATACTAAGCTCTATGTTGGCATATTTGGAAATCTTAAAGAAAGAGCCCCGATAGCTGGTAAAACCTGTGCATCAAGAGACTGGAGACTGAATTAATGGGATACACAGGTTTTGGTTTAAAACAATGCCCATTCAGCATACATAGACTGCACCTGAATTCTTTATAATAGGAGAAATATGCTTTCTTTCCCTAGGGTGACAAGCTCTCACCTCAGATATTGATTCATCACACAACTGCCAGAAGGACATTTGGTGTCATATGGAACATCAGCCATACCAAGGGCGTGGCCCAACTCATGTGACATCACTCCTACAAGAGCCACTTTATTCTTTTTCTTAGCCTGGAAAAAAATAGAAACATCAATTACTTCTTATTTTACTCTGTTATTTCTCAGTTGTTACCAATGTGTAGTATTTAAGTAGTTTGAGAGATTTAAAAAACACGATGAATCATTAAGCTGCTTTCCCTGTCATTGTTTATTGCAAAATGCTGAATGAATTTTGGGAATGGTTGAGTCCTATGAATCCAATCACTGAGTCAGTGCTCAATAAATATTTGTTGAACTAATGGATACTAAGTTCTCAGCAAATGGTTAAATTATTTATATTCTCCATAAAAAGTGCTAATAGGCACCATACTGTGGACTCAGAGGTCTCCAAAATCTGTTATGATGCCTGTGACATTGGTAGCACTTGGGTGCAGAAAACCTACATGTACCTTTCTTCCTTGTCTGACCTCTGGCCATAGATACTGGGGATGACGAATATTTAAGCTCAGGCCAAAGAAAGCACCTGGATCCCCTTCCTGTCCTCCTACTCCTGCTTTTATTCCCTAACACCAATGAAAGAGTGAAGCCTTCTGGCAGGGCTACCATAAGATTTTCTGTTTCATAATCCAAGGAATCTCCAGTGAGATGATCTACCAGTAGTTTCATTTCTACTTTTGCTTATTGATTCCGCAAATTCCCATTGTACCAACTCTGTATAAGACACATGCTGTCTTCATTGAGGATATAGACCCCAGGGAGCCTGACTATAAGTTTACAAACCTCAATAACAGCAACCGAAGATGGGGTGCACAAAGAATTCAGTGCTGCCAGGCCTGCATTTCCATTGCTGAAGCCAACTCCACTGTGTGAAAGTTACAGACACACTGTCACAATCCAAGTATCTGGAAACACTAGCTTTTGTTAATTATGTTGTAGACTTCCCTTGTTGCCATGGCCTTTTTATATTCCTGTGGCCACAGAAAAGCTTCTATTATTCCACAGCATGATAATTACCACAGTTGGTCACCTCACATCCAAGAGCACATTTTATTGCTCTGACACGGGCCCCCAATAATCTCACAGGTGAATTACTAATGGTAGAACGTCAGGCACCTGACAACTGATTGGGGAAATATGACTGAGCAGGAATCCGTTCCTAGGAACCATGGGGATAACTATCCACTCTGCCTACCTCCCCCTGGCCCTGGCCAGTGTGCACTCACCTGAGGAGCTGGGCATGGTCATGCACCTTCTTTTTCCACAGTTTAGAACGGTGCCAGCTCAGGAAGTTGTTAAAGGTGGTACCTGTGTTGGGTTCTACCTTTATCTTATCACCATCAGACCAGATTTCCATACCTACCAAGGCCACTCGAACATCTATGGTTTTATAGATCTGTGGAAAGAGTATATTTCTTCATGAAAATGTTCAGGATTCCTTTGGTGTTTTAGAGTTTTTGCTGAACACAAGTCATGGAAAATGTGTTGGACCACAAGTGGTGAATTTCCATTTTGGAAATAGAAATCCAAGAGGATGTCTTTGCTGCAATGTATGTGATTTTACCTTGATGTTCACCCCTATTCTGCTAACATTTCGAGAACTGCTGACCTTAATGCGTTTTGACCTTTTCAACCCCTTAGTGGTGAAGCCACAGGGAGGACTCAGGCTCCTATATGGAAATACATGTTAGCATGACAAATTTCTTACCACATTGAGTAGGTTTATCACATCAAACACAAAGCTTCTTATCAGAGTTTGATTCTCCTTATATATCTTGTACTGAAAAATACAAAATGCAAAGTATAATCAAATAAAAGAATGAACACAAGGAAGCTGATAAGGCACAGGATTTCACATTCTAAGAAAAATTACACATTTTTATATAATAATATCTATTCATGTCAGGACTACCTAATGTAAGACTGTGTGTTTCCACAAATTCTATTTCAAATGAAAGAGCATTCATACAAAATTTCAATGCTTTTCATTTTTAATTTGAATAAATCAAATTAATATTTGAATGTTGTTAAATCAATTCAGTATTATTAAAATTTGATTATAAAGCAATATTTGCTAGGTAGAAACATAGACTCTAGTGTTTCTTCTCTGTATATGCATAAATATAATTTGTAATTTACATATAGTTTGGGGTCTACTTTATATTTATATAATATTTATTTATATTCTATATTAAATAAAAATATTTTAATAGCTCTTTTCTTTTTTTTACTTTTCATTTTTGTAGTTGTTTCCCTACAGCCATCTGATATTAAGTGTATTGCTGATATCTAAATATTTTGGTGGCAGAAGATATTAAAGAGGCTGGGGGGGTAAGAAGTACTGCTGGCGAGACAGACAGAAGAGCCAAGACAAGGTTGACAAACTCTACATTGTTAGCTAGAATAGTTTATTGCTTGCTTTTGCTTGATAAGTAAACTTAAAAGTTGACAAAACTGGTCAAGAGGCAAACACACATTTTATACTCACAAAAGCATTATCCAGAACCAAAAAGAGGTCAATGTATTTCTGTGCCTGGAGAAAGTCTTCCTGCTATACAAAGAATAAAAGAACATTGTTTATGTTAGGTTAGCAAGACAGACAGAATGAAAGACTCTGAGCCAAACGTTTATCAAGCAAGGGAGTTTACTCCAGTGAACCTGGAGGGGAAACTGAAAGATCAGTGTTCTGCCCTTTCACAGACTAGCAGAAGCTTTATAGGGTTTGTCTGGGAGGGGGTTGGGCAGCTATTCTGAGCACTCAGCATTCCGTAATGGCTTAGGCTTTTTTTTTTTTTTTTTTTTTTTTTTTTTTTAAAAAATTTTT